GCCATAACTCTAGGAAAATTATTTTCATTGATATGTTTTATATACAAAATCTACAGATTTATTGCATGATTATGTGTCTTTTTTAATGATATAAATTCCATAAACCTGGTCATTTCACTAACATGAAAATTAATTTTTTTATCGGGATTAACAGATGGACTCTAACTTAAATTGGCATATATATAATTATTGCAGCAGGATTTGTTTCCATGGAAACAATCAATACCTAATTAGAATCATGACCGATCTTATGGAAGCAACTTACTTTATTAATTGAAAAAATATATAACATGTTTTAACGTGTACATGCACTTAGTGTAAGGAAGACAAGCACATAGTCAAGAGTGCCCCCCTCCTCGATTAATCTTGATTTGAGAAAATCTCTTGTCAGTTCAAACTCTGAGCTGATCTCCCTGAACCGGTGTCCTTTCCCGCATTTCGGGATCCAATCCTTTACCAATCAATTTAACATTGTATTCATACATTCCTTCTCTTTTTAACAAAAAAAAAATTGTTTAAGATATGTTGTGGTTTTGAAAGTCCACACTTTACTTCACTCATTAAACAACACAACAAACATGTTAGCATTATAGTGCAACGTGAAGACGCTAGGATTTATTACATCTCACATCAAACAGAACAGTAGAATATAATGTAAACATAATGTATAAGTAACTATGCTTCCCTCGCTGCCCAGGAAAAACCATAGATAAAAAATTTGCTTAAAAAACTATGAAAACCTGTAAGTCTGCAGCAATGGCGAGGTAAACAAAATGAATGGCGGACTCATACAAACCTATGCAACTTACTAATATGTAAAATTTTGGAAAAAAACAAACACAAAATATAATATATGTATATATTTAATTTTAAACTTTGAAAAATGACCTGCTCGGGTAGAGCGTGCGCTAGAAACTGAACTCTACTATCATGAGAAAACTATTCAAACACGTCATTCCCCCAACTCCCATTTCATTGGTTGTTACCAAGTTCACAATATTACCACATACACAATACGCAACTTCCGCTCAAGAACAATAATTCGTTTACATATCGTTAGGAAAACTATTTCTCGCTATACTGTCGTAACGCGAGAAATTATAAGTCCACACTTTACTTCACTCATTAAACAACACAACAAACATGTTAGCATTATATAGGCCTTTCAACTAATTTTTCAAGTTGCACATAGAGTAAAAACATTGTATAGATAGATTTATAGGTACATGAAATTATCAGAAAAGATAATAACTTATGCATACTTTTAACTACATCATTAGAAAGTTTAATCATTTATAATTTACTTTTCCGATGTTGTGTTTAATGACAGGTAACTCAGGTGTGAAAAATGACCAACTTGGTGCCGATTTATGAGTTATCGTTTATAGGAATGACATATAGGCTGCTTCAGCATTGGTATTGTTATATACACAAAAGGGTTCCTTACATTGTTTTGTACACAGAAAGTTTTGACCAAGAGAAAGAGAGCGCCTTCACTCTACCTGCAATAACAAGGCGAAATGAATGGGGAACAGATTATATTCAATAGTTTAACTCTCTTTGACGATTATTATTATGAAGAAAATTTAATGTCAAGTTTATTGTGTTCGCGCTTTTTCGCTTCCTGTGTAAATGTATATATTTTTGCAAGTAAATGCAACAATTGATCATCTTATTTGTGTTACTAAGCACGAAGGGGAACGACCTAGTATAAAAATTAAATTAGGTTAGAACTGAGAAGGAGGTAGATTTCACTTTTTATTTTAATTAAAAATTTGAATTATATGCAGTAAACCGGTGTTCGCATCTTAACAGAAAATAAGTTGAACATTGGTGATAAATTTTAAAACCACTGGATTCTACTGAGAGCAAAGAGACACTTGGAAAATGCTTAAAACTGCCTTTCGTGTAAACAGTTAGATACCCCTAGCCTGCTCTAAACAAGTTTCAGCTGTGAGTTATCGTTCATAATACCGACCCCTAGCGGCAGTTGAAAGGCCTACATTATAGCGCACCGTGAAGACGCTAGAAAAATACCAAAAAAAAGGGAGAGAAGTGAGTAATTACTTGATTATTTATTACAAATTTATAGCCCCAACTTTTTTGATACTTGAAGTCTCTTAACAATGGAATCTTTGATATACATGTTTTTGCTTGACAGACATTTCCAACGGCCGTGCCTTACTATACATCTCTCGTCAACATCAGAATTGGCTGCAACAGAAGCACCACCTGAACGAAGTGAATGAATTCCAATATTTAAATTTGGAGCAACAGATATTAGCATTTTAACAATGTTTTCTTTTGCTGCTGTATAACTAATGGGCTTATTTTTTGTGATTAACTTAAAATTCTTAAATAATCTTCTTCAACCACGACATTGTTACACTTTAAAGAGCTAATTTCATCAAATCTAAAAAATCCTGCAAACCCCATCAGAATCATTACTAAATTTCTTAGTGTTAAAACATCATCAGATTCTTTATGTAGTGAACACAAATTCTGTAACATCTCATTGTCTACAGGATCCTTTCTACACACAGGTTTTGTGGATAATCTTTTTGCAGAATCTTGAAGTGACTTTACAAACGAATTTTCTGTAGGATCGTCTAAACCGCTTAAATTATGAATCCATTTGATCGAATAAATTGTAAAACTCACAGTGGAATAGGATGCACCTTTATCCAACAAATGGGTTATATATAACGCAACATACACGGGTTTAGCTGGTAATTCACGTGCCCATGATTGTTGATAAATTTCCTCCATCGCTGGAAACTGTTTGAATACGTTTTATTTGTGTTTTCACTTTTGGAAAGGACAAGATACGTTGACATATGATTGCTAAGGCTTCCTAGGCTACTTTTCAATGGGACACCACTATCTTCTACTGCTCTGTTTACATGTGTCTGAAGATTTAGTCCTAAAATCAAATTTTTAATATAACTTATATGCAGCTGTACAATAATCTTTAAATTCATGTCATACCATTTTTACGTCCCCTTCCTTTTTTTTTAAATCATTAAAATCTTATCTTGAACGCTACCATTTTGAAATCCAAAGGATATTTGGCAAATACAGATTTCTTGCTTTTACCATGAGTAATCAATCTTTTCTTTGATAAATATTTCCAAGACTGAATAAAACTTTTGAACTTTTCACCATCAAATAACATTGGCCAGAATGGAGAAGATTCATTCAAAGTTGCTTTTGCTCTGTCTGAAACAATTTTGTTTATAACTTTTGGAATTAAAATTGGAGGAGGAACCAACCAATTGTTTTCATCTGCCCAACAAATATCAAAAGCATTTATGCACTCTGTGCCCGGGCACCAATACTTTGAATTGAATCTAATACACTTTTTGTCAATACTTTGAATTGAATCTAATACACTTTTTGTTGTAATGTGTAGCAAACCTGTCCACTGTATGCATACCCCACATTTTTTCATAATATTCAAAAATTTCGTCATCTGCTGACCAATCATCCATGTCTGTCAATCGACTCAAACTGTCTGTTTTTTTATTTTCCGCCCTGGGCTTCCAAACAGGGTTGATTCGAATACTGTTTTCTGAACATGTTTTGAAAATATCATTTGCAATATCTTGTTAATATGATTTTTTGCTACCAACCGATAAAATAACAGAAACATTTTTGTTATCTGAAATGATCTTTATATTTTCATTTGTCAAATGTGAAACATTACTCTTGACAACCCTGTTCACAGCCTCCAGTTCTCTCCATGTTGAACTTTGCTGACTTTCGTCTTCCGTCCAGCTTCCAAACACATTTCCAATATTCACTTGGTATTTCTTTGAATTTAGTTTGGATTCCAAGAGACTTGAATACAAAAGCCGATTACATTTCTAATGTTATTGATTTTGATGATTGGCAAACTAGTACAGAGTTTTTTGAATTAATTGATAGTATGCGGGGTCCACATACGGTGGACAGATTTGCTAACGCTCAAAATGCCAAATTACAGAGATTCAATTCCTTATTTTGGTGTCCTACTACAGAAGCAGTAGACGCGTTTTCGAAAAACTGGAAATTCAAAAATAATTGGCTAGTTCCACCCATCTCTTTGGTTTCTCGAGCAATTAAGCATTTAAAATTTTGTAGAGCTAGTGGTACCTTAATCGTTCCAAAATGGCCATCATCTCCTTTTTGGACTTTGTTGTTTGGTCAAAATATGACATTCAAGAATTATGTGATTGATGTACTAGAATTTGAGCCACATCAAAATTTGTTTTGTCATGGTACGAATAATAAAAGCCTTTTTGGCTCACGTTATTTCAATTCTAGAGTCCTCGCTGTGAGGCTTTGCTGTGAAACAATTTAGACATGGCCCTTTTTCAAGATTGTCTTGAAGAAGCTGGCAAGGTCTGAAGAGTGTTATTTTGTGTTAGACATGGCCCTTTCAAGAATTGTCTTGATGAAGATGGGAAGGTCTTAGAGCGGAAATTGTGACTGAATTTTTGTTGTACAGATCGGATTTTAGATAAAGACACGGCCCTTTCAAGATTTTGTCTTGATGAAGCTGGCAAGGTCTTGTTATTTGTATATAAATTTTGTTGATACAAGTATCGCTTTATACGTACAATGCTGAACATATTAATTGATGCATTAAAAAAAATTGTATTGGTGGGTGTTTGGACAAGGCCATTTCATTTATGTTGGCAGGTCCTGATATTTTGAATTTAATTTAATACTTTGTTGGACAAGGCCATGTTTAATTTATTTGGCGAGGTCCTGATATTCTAATAATCGATATTTTAGTATCATTATTTTTTTAATTCATCAGTTTTGCAGATATCTTTAAATCGGGCAAATGGACATCTTCCTGGAAATGCGTGAATCCACAGTTAAAGAAACTATAGTCTGTCCCACCAAGTTACTGTAAGCACTTTTCGCATGATATCTCAAAAAATATAAATACCTTGGCTTTCACACCAGTTCCGATGGATAGATCATTTTTTTTCCAACCTTCCTCCGTTTATCCGAACCCTCGAGGTCAACCAGTGTATACACACGGCGGCAAATTCAAAGTCTACGGAGATTTAACATTGTCAAAATGGCTGCCACTTCGGAAGGGGATCATCCATTGTTCGTAATTTTCCGTACGTCGTCGTCAGTAAGGAAATGACGTCACACACGTTCGGGAGTGCTCTATGGTTATCGACGTCCGAAAAACCTATAACGCCCGAGACTTCCAAGTATATATTTATCATTGTTTATACTACAAGAAATATCACTTTTTCAACAAACTTTCATACCCAGACTGAGACCCAAGGGACCAAAGATTCATAAAAGGGTTAGTCACTGCATAAAGGCAAAGAGGTATGACTCAATTCATACACAACATTTCGATAGAATAATCGAGGCTAGGCTACTGCAAATTTAGCTCAAGTAAAATTAGTTTTATAATTTAAAGCCAACACGTAACATTATAGATCAATCAAAGTAATATCACTAGGATTAAGATTTTTAAAAATCATAATTGCTGCCTTACCTTAACGTTTCATCTTAGCTTTCCTTATAAATCCAACTCTTTTACGTTTGTTAAAAAACTGTAGGCCTTAACACACGGTAAAAATAAGTCAATTCATCGTTTCTATGTCACAGTATGTGAACAAGTGATGTCCTCACATGCATATGCCACAGTATTTCTTGACTTTGTTATACATGTACTTCCAACTCTCTGAACACATAAATCCTTCTTTGATATCGGTGCAAAACAACGTTTGTTGTCTGCATCAATATTAAACTACGTCACCAATGAATTTTGACCTTGCCCTTCCAAACCTTCATGTAATGTATCGGTGTTAGAAAAATTCAGACCCAGGATATACATTTTGGTTAACCTTAAATATAACAGAATTATTCCAAACATCAATGATACAGATGTTTTGGACTAGGCGAGACAGTGCCTTCTAAGGCCCAAAAAATAATTATCTTGTTTCCTGCTACCAACCTGGAAAAACAAGCTAATTCAGAGAATTCGTGTCCCCCGCTTAGGGAAAAAGTCGGCTCCCCCTGACTGAATTTGTAGAATTATTAAATGTATACATGTATACTGAAGGAAATAAAATACATGTATGTCAATATGCATATAAAGATTTGATTGCTTATTCTTTATTATGTGTATAGAAGATTTTTTATATGGAATATTTATCACACTGTAATGATGATTTTATAACCTCATAAATTTTTCATTTCACATGCTGAATACTATCATTTAGTAAAAAAAAAAGTATTTAAAAAAAAAAAAAAAAAGAAAGCTTCGACCGAGATTCGAACCCGGGACCTCTCGCATTTGAAGCGAGAGACATAACCACTAGACCACGGAGTCGCTTTACCCGGAGTGAAGTATATGCAGAACTGAAGTCACATACATGTATATATTCATGTTTTCATGTTCGGTATTCTCAAAATTTTACACAATCCATGGTGTTTGATTTATTTAGCCTTTATTAAACAGTTTTAATAGATGTAATAAGAACATAAAGTCCGCCGAGAACCTGTTTTATACGCAATAACTCTCCTCCTGCCCCTGCGCTAAAAATAGCGACATGTAATACTATAAATACTAATAAAACAAACGGGGCGGGGCACTTTGAGAGGGGCGAGAGACGTCCTAGGGAGTTTTGGTATAAAATTACATTGCATAAGCTCAAAATCTTCTTGAAATATCGCCCGGAAATGATAGTGTTACACACAGACAGAATGTATAAATTTACGACCTTGAACTTTGACCTTTTGACCTCAAAATCAATAGGGGTCTTCTTTAGGCCACAGGGAGTTGTTATGTAAAATTTCATTGCGATAGCTCAAATGATTCTAGAGATATCGTGTGGAAACGAAAGTGTTTTAACAGACAGAATTTGCTTATTTATGACCTTGACCTTTGACCTTTTGACCTCAAAATCAATAGGGGTCTTCTTTAGTCCATAGGGAGTTGCTATGCTAACTTTCATTGCAAAAGCTCAAAGGGTTCTCGAGATATCGTGTGGAAACGAAAGCGTTACAGACAGACAGAAAGACGGACGGACGGACGGACGGACGGACAGACGGACGGACGGACGGACGGACGGACAAACCCAAATTAATATCCCCCACTTTTCAAGCGGGGGACAAAAATTGGGTAGGTAGGCAGGAAAATTATTTTATTTTTGAATTCTTTCTATTTTCGATATGAACTAATACAAAACCAAATTAAACATGTCATAGACCAATATTTTCATTACAAATTAAATTTTGTCTTTTGATGCATGACTCAAGTAGTATTTATGAAAGTCAATATTTAAGACATATACTCGGTAGTATCATAAAATACTACGAAAGATGAATAGGACCACATAAAAAATATTTTTATCTCGTAATTACGAGAAAAGATCTCGTTATAACAAGAAAATATCTCGTTATTACAAGTTAATTATCTCGTTATTACGAGAAAAGATCTCGTAATTACAAGATAAAAATATTTTTTTTATGTGGCCAAATTCCTCTTTCGTAAAATACCACTTGAATATTCATTATTTTTTTCAGTTTTAGAACATGGGAACATGAAATTCCAGGTTTTTTCCAAACCTAAAAAACTGTAGGGTCAGGTGCGAAAAATTAAGGTAGGTTGGGTAACAGGAAACAAGACTAAAATTTTTGGGGGCCTGAGTACAGCTGTCTCTCCCTCGGGGCTGAGATATCTCTGTCTCGGCCCATAGTCATGGTGCTGTCTCGCCCTCAAATGTCAAATCATTATTTCTGTTTATTTGTGTGAAATTAAGAGTAAAATTCATATTTAAGTAAGAGATTTTATTTCAAAAATTTGTCTAGATATGAACACAGATATTGCGAATTCTCAGATATAGCGAGGTAACCTTGGTACCCAGCTATGTAAATTAATGAATTCCTTAAACGGATAAAACAAATTATGGTTATAGCAAAATATTTTCATAGGTCCCATTGACTTTTCTTGAACAGAGTTTTACTATATTAGGTTAACATTTTCACTTTCTACAAGACCTTTCTGAGAACTTCAAACAACCTTAAAGGACATTGAGAAGTTATAAACATTATCATGATAAAATAAAAACTGTTGCATGAAGAAATTTAATTTTTCAAGATTCATTTTGAGATTCTGAATTAAATTATAAACTAAAGAGCTATCCTTATTGGCTGAGAATCCAAATACCTTAACAGATTTTTAATAACTCTTGTAAAATTATAAATGCTTGAACCATAAAACAGCTTTAGATTATAGGATAAACCAGTTTGTTTGCACTGTTTTCATCGTATTATTAAGTAAAATTTAACAATATTTTAAAAGATAAATGAATTGTTTGTCCTATATTTAAGGATATTAGAACAAAATTAGAAGAATAATTGTAAAGTGCCCACTGAAGCTTGAGTCCATGCTGTAGAAAAGACATGAAACAGAAGTGAGAAAATGTCGACATCAGTCATCTATAAAGATGGAGATTGCCTCTATTCTAAAATTTCCGAGGGAAATGGTGTTGTCTGGCTCATCCAATGATCACTCCATTTGCAGATTACCAGGTAATTTTTGGTTTTGTCAATACTTTGTGCCTGAAAAAAAATTAATGATAAAACATTTTAATTTGTCATAAAGATTTCAGTGCATAAAAAATACTTTTAAATTTGTGCAAAGTGAAATTTAAAGATAAAATAAAAATTCAGACCGTGCTCATCATATTAATATAAATTATTTACTTATTAAAAATACATATACAATGTACTTGGTTAATTCTCATTTTCAGGTTCCAGTCTGAAGTATACATTGGAAGAGCATCTTTCTCATTCATATAACAATTACTACCTGTGATCCAGAAGAATGTCCTGATTGTTTAGTCCCACATAAGATGGATTTCAATCTGACATGTTATTCTGAAAAATTGAGTGTACAGTCTTCTTAAGGTTTCGTCAAAGGTCAACATATCCAAAAATTTATTTTTATAATAACTCCAAAACTATGTGAGGTATAAAGTAAAAACTTTTACAGTTTATAAATTTTTCATTGATTAACAGATAGAAAGTATCATTTGATAAAAAATACTTGGAAAAAATATTTAAATTGAGAAAAAATCTTTTTTAAAATGCATAATTTTTTCAGAAAACGCACCTAATTAATTCCGTACTTTTAGTGAAAACCATCACTGCAGAAACAAAATATGATTATCAATGAAGGGCAAGTTGGACTTGGATAGCCTCTGGAAAGTTGTTTTCCCTGTTTATTTTGTCCAAATGTTAAGACTTGAAAGCGAAAGTACAATGCAAATGGCGGGTTCCACAGGGGTCTTGTCTTTATATATGTCATGCTTTCAATAACAGCCTTTCAGAGACCATTCACGTCCAACTTGGCCTTCAATGATAAACATATATTATTTCTGCAATGATGGTTTTTACAAAAAGGACAGAATTAAGCAGGTGCATTTTTTTAAAATATGCACATTTTCTGATTCAATTTTTCTCAAAAAATAAATATCTTTTTTTAAATATTTGTTATCAAGTGATGCTTTCTATCTATTAATCAATTATACATTTACAAACTGTAAACATTTTGACTTTATACCACACATAGTTTTGGAGCTATTGTAAAAATATTTTTTTTAGACATGTTGATCTTTGACGAAACCTTAATGCAGGCATTCTTTGTCACAATATCTTGACTCTGCATGGTCATCAAAGCTTTGGGCTCTTGTGAATTATTCAACCTATAAAAACATAATTTTGTATTAAAGTAATAAAAGTATAATAAAACATTTTATGCTTCAGTTATAATTACATTTTTTTATTGATGTTTGTTTATTCTTTCAAATGGTGAGATTGTGCAGTTTTAAAGGTGCTTAGACACAGATCAGCAGTTAATATTTTCTCAAATTTTCTGTAAAATATAATGACTTATCACTTACATAACAAGAGGCTCATGAGCCACATCACTTGTAATTACCTGAATAGCTTTGACCATGCAGTTCTTTACCAGATTTCCCCTGTTATACCTTTTGTGACCCAACCTAATATCTGTGGTCATAATTTGAAAAATTTAAAATCTACACTACCCCAAAATGATTTTGCATAAGTATCAGCTATGCTTGCCTAGTACATGTACCAGTAACTCCCAAGAAGAAGATTTTTGAATAGATTTTTCTTGTATATTTCAGTGTAAAACTTGGGTTCCCTATTGTAGTCCCACCCTACCCCAGGGGTCATAATTTAAATAATTTAGAATCCCAGGATGCTTCTGCTTGAATTTCAACCCCTAGGGAATCATGATTTGAACAAACTAGAATATACACTACCTGAGGATGATTCCATATAAATATCACTAATCATGACTTTGAAGTACTTAAAAAGAAGATTTTAAAAGGTTTCCCTATAAATTCCTATGTAAAACTTTAATCGGCCATTTTGGACCCACCCTACCCCCAGGGGTCATGATTTGAACATTGAATATGGCTAGACTGAGAATTTGAACTCTGAATATGTGCATGACAGCTAGTATGAATTACATGAAATGGAAATATATCTGATGTTACATGTATATCTATTATCAATTTTATTTTAAAGTCTGTACTTAGATGAAATGATTCAGCCTATCTTGACTTTTTATGCTGATCAATATACAGACATAATATGACATGTACTGTTTATTTATTTATTTATTTATTTATTTTTGTTTTCCTGTCATGAATAGTGAATACTACATATTATAACTTTCTCATTTAAACTGTTAGGTCAAGACAAATCATGAAACAGTGGGTGCATATATTATTCATCTACCTTAATTATTCCTGGTTCTGCTAATTAATTAATCAATATACATGCATTCACATTAATGACCATTATAGAACTCAATCCAAAGACTTGATGAAAATTTAAAATATATGCACATTTTAATATTGTAAAAAAGTTTTGAAAAATAATTCCAAAATGTGTTATCTATTGAAAACTCTGTTTTGATGTCCACAGGGTGTTGATACTACACATAAATGAAAAAATAAAAATACACTTTATATATGAAGCTTGTTATTTATTTGCCAAATGCATGCATGTACATGAAATGTTATGAATTGAAAATGAAAGTAGGAATAAATTTTTTAAACTCTAGGCTAGTTACTAGCTATTATTTTTTTAGGTATTATTAAAATTTCACCTAATTGTTTAACCATATTCGTGTTCTTTTATAATCATAGGAACACTCCTTTATATTTTTCAATTTTCACACACGGGTTTACACGTATACAGACCGTTACAGAGCACGAACGGTCCATGGGCACTTAACAAGAGAGCTGTTGTTCTAATGTCAGCATATATCACGCGTTTTGAAATATATACTTAGCATTTGTAGACACTTCTTTCTTGTGTGTATATGAGCTAGTAAAACAACAACAGCTGCAAAAAATACCATAGAATAAATAAACAACTTACGTTTTAAACACTGGGCCTGGCGAAGCTGCTTGCATCATCATGTCAACAGCCATTAGGCCTATCCATAAGTTGTACTTCGTTAGATTCGGACTATTTTCTCGTAGTTTATAATTAAATTTGTTAAATGCAGTTAAAATTTATTTTAATTCAAAGTAAAAGTTATATTATCAATAAAAGCAATTTAAATTAATTCCTTATATTTTTAACGATTTTTTGGAAATTTACTTTGCAAAGGACGACTACTCCCGTCGAAAACTGGTTCCCGGCCCCGTAATCTCGTAGTTAATGGACGAGTTTACCATGTTAAATCACCGTAGACTTTGAATTTGCCGCCGTGTGTATACACTGGTTGACCTCGAGGGTTCGGATAAACGGAGGAAGGTTGGAAAAAAATGATCTATCCATCGGAACTGGTTTGAAAGCCAAGGTATTTATATTTCTTGAGATATCATGCGAAAAGTGCTTACAGTAACTTGGTGGGACAGACTATAGCCGACAAACTCCCTTCTGTGTGCGAAAAATCAAAGGCGGAAAATACTAAGAAACAATATTCAGCTGCATTCAACAGATTCTGTAAGTGGTGTTCTACTTATCAAATTTCTCCACTTCCTGCTTCAGATTATAATGTTTCATTGTACATGGTCAAACTTGGTGAAACTTGTAATTCAGTGAATACAATCGATGAAGCGTTTTATGCTATTAGCTGGGCACATAAACTATCTGGGTATCTTAATCCGTGTTCCTTGGATCTCGCAATATTCACCAGGGAAGGATGTCACAGATCAATTGGTCACCGATCTAACAATAAAAAGGAACCTATTACACCTGAAATTCTTAAAAGCATATGAGTATTGTACGGGAACGAAACATGTAACTTATTAGACCTTAGAATCGCATGTATGTGTATTTTAAGTTTCACAGGTTTTTTGAGGTTCTCAGAGTTAGTTAATATTAGAATGTGTGACATAAGCCTTTATGATGATCATATGTCCATTTTTATTCAAAAAAGTAGAACTGATCGTTATATGAAAGGAAATACTGTGTACATATCTGGCACTAGTCGTGTTACATGTCCTATTATTATCAAGAAAAGATATTTAGAGAAAGCCAAGATTCCACCTGGTTCTAATGAGTTTATTTTTCGTTCTATGAATTTTTGTAAAAAATCAGGTATGTGTTCCTTAATTGGACATAAAAGTTTATCATATACCCGAGCTAGGGAAATTTTATTGTCTGCACTTGAATTTATTGGGTTAGATAAGAGCAAATTTAGTTTGCATAGCCTTCGAGCAGGCGGTGCCACTGCAGCTGCTAATTCTAGAATTTGTGACAGACTTTTCAAAAAGCATGGCAGGTGGCGATCTGATTCAGCTAAAGATGGTTATGTAAAAGAAAGTTTACATCAGAAATTATTTGTTACAAAAGGTCTCGGTATTTAGGGGGAGGGGTGGTTTTTGTTAGAATTACAAATTTTCTTTTTTATCTTTTCTTTATCATCGAAGTCTGTTGCACTCGCGCATGCGAGCTCATCCTTTATATTGGTGTTTTGAGTTTTTATTTATAAATAATTTATGTTCGTTTGAACTGGTGAATTTAGAACATAAATATATTTATAAAAGTTACGGTAAACACGTTGGTTTGTTTACGGAATTTGGGGGCGTGGCTGTATCGAAGATCGATTGGTTTTAAGATTCGCGGTTCTGTAGGTTAAAATCATGCTAGGCATGTATACGTCGTATTGGGTTGTATTAAGGGTTTTTTAAGTCATTCGAAGTTTCGCTGCCTTAAGTGCAACAGACCAATCCCCCCCCCCAACCCCTCCCCAAGTATATTATTTTGTATGGTTTTTCTTTTCATGAATGTGTTCAATAACTTATCGTTTCTCTTTTGTAGAACGGGGTGATTACTTGTATGTGACGAAGATTTATTTAATGTTATAACGATTGTAAAATTAAAAAGCTGTTGCACTCGCGCATGCGAGCTCATCCTTTATATTGGTGTTTTGAGTTTTTATTTATAAATAATTTATGTTCGTTTGAACTGGTGAATTTAGAACATAAGTGCGATTTACGCCAGTCATATGAGTACACCAGAAGGCAAAACATAGTGACATTTAGGTCTGTTGGACGGAAGTTGCAAAGCGAAAGTGAAAGTATACGAGACTTTCCGACCCTATTTATACAAAGCAGAATTTATACAAAATCTTCTGCGTGAACAGAAAGCACTTGCTGTGGCCTTCAACTCGACATTAAGATTTTCGACGTATTGTCAATAATGATAATTTCCATTCCTATGTCAATACGATATATCCTAGTTAGCTTCTCTCCCTCATTACTGGATCCTCATTATTTGATATCAACTGAACATTGTATTAATAAATCCCATTCTTCCTCTTCCTTTCGAAAAACACATTTTGGACATCCCTACTTTTAGTTTTAGTTTCCATCACATCAAGCTCTGCTTTATGCATTTAAAGAATATGAAAGATGAAATCCCCCCCCCCCCCAAAAAAAAAAAATACAGAGAAATACTTGCTTACTTCTTATTATTTGTTCTCTCAGTTCTGACCCTGTCCCCAATCCCTTTCTTGTAACCATTAGGATGGATTCTCTGATTTCTATCAAGTATTACCATGCCCTCTGGGGTAGTATTCAATACGTGCCCGATTTGTAATTGTTCCAGAGTAGTCTACATATAAAACAAGAGGCCCACGGGCCTTATAGGTCACCTGTGCATCATGCAATAACTTTCAAATGATTGAATTTGTTTCATGTTTTAAGCTAGATGCTAAGGCATTCACAATTTTGGAAGAGGCACTCTTGCTCAACATAACTATATACTTAGTAAGTTTATTTAAAACCTAGGAGAAGAAGATTTTCAAAGATTTAATGCATTTTCACTATATAATCAATAGAGCCCCGCCCTAACACCAGAACCGTGACCCTGGGGCCATTAAATTCACAATTTTGGTAGAGGCACTCTTGCTCATTATAACTATGTACTTATAAGTTAGTTTATTTAAAACCTAGGAGCAGAGAAGATTTTCAAAGATATAATGCAATTTCACTTTATAATCAATAGAGCCCCACCCTAACACCAGAACCCCTGACCCTGGGGCCATTAATTTCACAATTTTGGTAGAGGCACTCTTGCTCATCATAATTATTTACTGAATTAGTGTATTTAATACTTAGGAGCAGAGAAGAAGATTTTCAAAGATTTAATATATTTTCTTTATATAATCAATATAGAGCTCCGCCCTAACACCAGAACCCTGACCCTGGGGCCATGAATTTCACAATTTTGGTAGAGGCACTCTTGCTCATCATAATTATTTACTGAATTAGTGTTTTTTATACCTAGGAGCAGAGAAGAAGATTTTCAAAGATTTAATATATTTTCATTATATAATCAATATAGAGCTCCGCCCTAACACCAGAACCCCTGACCCTGGGGCCATAAAATTCACAATTTATGAAGAGCCTTTCTTGCTCATCATAACTATGTGCTTAAGTAGTTTATTTAATACTCAGGAACAGAGTAGAAGATTTTCAAAGAAATAATGCATTTTCACTTTATAATCAATAGAGCCCCACCCTAACAACAGAACCCCTGACCCTGGGGCCATTAATTTCACAAAATTGGTAGAGGCACTCTTGCTCATCATAATTATTTACTGAATTAGTGTATTTAATACCTAGGAGCAGAGAAGAAGATTTTCAAAGATTTAATGCATTTTCATTATATAATCAATATAGAGGCCCGCCCTAACACCAGAACCCTGACCCTGGGGCCATGAATTTCACAATTTTGGTAGAGGCACTCTTGCTCATCATAATTATTTACTGAATTAGTGTTTTTTATACCTAGGAGCAGAGAAGAAGATTTTCAAAGATTTAATATATTTTCATTATATAATCAATATAGAGCTCCGCCCTAACACCAGAACCCCTGACCCTGGGGCCATAAAATTCACAATTTATGAAGAGCCTTTCTTGCTCATCATAACTATGTGCTTAATTAGTTTATTTAATACTCAGGAACAGAGTAGAAGATTTTCAAAGAAATAATGCATTTTCACTTTATAATCAATAGAGCCCCACCCTAACAACAGAACCCCTGACCCTGGGGCCATTAATTTCACAAAATTGGTAGAGGCACTCTTGCTCATCATAATTATTTACTGAATTAGTGTATTTAATACCTAGGAGCAGAGAAGAAGATTTTCAAAGATTTAATGCATTTTCATTATATAATCAATATAGAGCTCCGCCCTAACACCAGAACCCTGACCCTGGGGCCATGAATTTCACAATTTTGGTAGAGGCACTCTTGCTCATCATAATTATTTACTGAATTAGTGTTTTTTATACCTAGGAGCAGAGAAGAAGATTTTCAAAGATTTAATATATTTTCATTATATAATCAATATAGAGCTCCGCCCTAACACCAGAACCCCTGACCCTGGGGCCATAAAATTCACAATTTATGAAGAGCCTTTCTTGCTCATCATAACTATGTGCTTAATTAGTTTATTTAATACTCAGGAACAGAGTAGAAGATTTTCAAAGAAATAATGCATTTTCACTTTATAATCAATAAAGCCCCACCCTAACACCAGAACCCCTGACCCTGGGGCCATAAAATTCACAATTTATGAAGAGCCACTCTTGCTCATCATTACTATGAACTTAATTTGTTTATTTAATACCCAGGAGCAGAGAAGAAGATTTTTAAAGACTTACTGTATTTTCACTATATAATCAATAGAGCCCCGCCCTAACACCAGAACCCCTGACCCTGGGGCCATGAATTTCACAATTTTGGTAGAGGACTCAATGCTGATTACAATCATACCAACAGTGTGACTGCTTGATGTCCGGGAGTAAAGAAGAAGATTTTTAAAGATTGCACTATTTTTAGTGGTTTTTGCCCCACCCCCCAGGCCCCAGGGGGGCGGGGACCACGAAATTCACAATTTTTGTTCCCCTTCACCCATAGATGCTATATGCCAAATTTGGTTGAAATTGGTTCAGTGGTTTCAGAGAAGAAGCTGAAAATGTTTAAATGTTAACGCACGACGCACGACGCACAACGCACGACGCACGACGACGGACAAAAACGGATAGCAATAGGTCACCTGAGTTTACTCAGGTGACCTAAAAAGTATATTGCCAAGTCAAAAGTTATAACATTATTTAGCTTAATTATTGATAAAAGTTAGAACATGAAAATATCTGTGTTTGTGCCACTCGTAACATTGCATCCATCAAATCCGACAACAAAAACTTTTCGGATTTCCAAAGTTTTTGCTGTTAGAAAAGAATCGATGGCTGCCATAAGACTCTTGGCATCAGTGCGTTGAAGCTTGAGAAGTCCAAGGAAAACTTCACGGACATTCCCACTGTCAGAGTCGACAAACCGAACAATTATGGCAACTTGTTCTCGATTAGGATTATAAACTGACTCGTCTGCCAATAAAAAGAACCGTCCAGCTCTGTTGATAGAATATAATATCTCTCGTTCAAGAGAAAAAGAAAAGGTATCGACAATTTCTCGCACAGAGGAAGGAGAAGTGTACATGATTGATTGATGGTGCTCCATGTGATCAACAACTGGTCGGAATTCTAACTGCTTTACTAACAAGAGGCCAATGGGCCTTATAGGTCACCTGAGCATTATTTCCAGTGATTGAATTTGTTTTAAGCCAGATGCTATAGCCTTTACAATTTGGTAATCAGAACTTTACACTTAGCAGTTGTAAAGAAGAAGATTTTTAAAGATTGCATTAATTTTAGTGGTTTTGGCCCCAGGCCCCAGGGGGGGGCAGGGATCATGAAATTCACAGTTCTTGTTCCCCTTCACCCATAGATGCTTTGTGCCAAATTTGGTTGAATTTGGTTCAATGGTTGCAGAGAAGAAGCTGAAAATGTTCAAAAGTTTACGACCGATTGAAAACGAACGACGTACGACGGACGAAAACAGATAGCAATAGGTCACCTGAGTGACTCAGGTGACCTAAAAAGTTCATCATGTCACCAATATTATCAGGTATGGCCCACCTCTTGTACAGTATATAAAAAGCGGTGGTGAATAAGGTCTTCAAGTATTGAGAATTCCTTTGCCTGTTCTGATTTTGAACTACTTAATGCTGTTGATTAAGAGTTTGCAATATTGATTGTTCCTTTCCCATACCCATATAAACATCGTGCTCCTCTTTGTGTGTTACCGATTTCTCGTGTTTCATTATTTTCCTGTTCGGGTGAGTACCTACGTTTATTTTGATCTATACTATGTATTTAAAGTGCACTGTGCCTTTCAGTGTGTTTTTCACCGTCAAGCTATGGGGGAGCGTGGGGTATGTGAGCTAGCTCACTTTTTCTTTCATTTGTATGTGTGATGTGTGTATGTGTGTCCACATAGAATCTCTTTGGAAATGTAAACATAAATGGTTATGAGAATCATTTTGAATAATCATAATAATCATTTTTAATAATAGGTGGTTCATATTCACCAAATTTAACAGGAGAATATACAATATTTTTTCTACTAAAATTTAAATTTACAGTTTTGTTCATAGGCGCTCCCCATGTAATTCTGTAAATGACGTATGATAAGTATATATAGGTCTACCCCTCTATGGTATAAAATATCCAAGGCCAGTAAGTGGGCGCCATTGTGGATTTCGCCTGGGACCTCTGACTGACTTACTTCAAGGGTTTCTGGGGTATACTGGGCTGTTCATCAGCATCGGGTACTCTTATTTATTGAAAAAAAATATTTGCAATCTTTAATCCAGCACCATTCCGTCGCTTTCTCTTGTTTTCAAACATTTTTCAATTACTCCGTCACACATAGCTGATCTCGGCCGGAAGAAGTCGATTTCGTCGATTTTCAACAACTCGTACGAAAATAACTTTCGGAAGTTTGATAATATTTAGTGGGGGAAAGTGCATAGGCGCTTGGTTTCAGGATGATGTATTTTGTGTATGAT